TTAATGTATTGATGTATTGAGAAGGTATCAATACAGTATATTGACTCATTTAGCTAAATTTGATTTAAGTTCTATGGCTTTCGGGCTTTGTATTTATAGAGGAGAACTATCCTGCCTTTGTGTTTATAGCCTATCTATATATTGTGTTATCACAGTAGATAGCTACATTTATATTTAATATCCAGACAATCCCTGAATGTTGCTGAATACATTTTGGATACATTTTTTGAGTTTCTCATAGTTTATATGCCTCTAAGAAATCCCAGGTTCACATTTTATGCATGAAGAAACTGTTTAACATTATACATGGAGAGTTTTCAGCCCGGGCTGAGTTTCAGCCCGGTTAAACGAGAAAAGTTGTTCCAGAAAAGATCCATGCTCCCCCATGAAGGAAATATCTGCCGTCCGGAGGGGGAGGGGAGAAAATATTGTTTCTGATAATAGCAAATGTATTAGGACATCCGAAATGGTAGGGGGTTAACTTCATATTTCCTCCGTGGGGGTGGTATGGATGTTTTCTGGAATGACCCATTGCATCACAATAATTTGCATGAGCAGTTTGAGCTCGGTCTGAGTTTAGTCAGAGCTACAGTATATTTATAGTCAACACAGGCTGAAATGTCAGCCCCAGCTGAAATTATCACGAAATAGAGTGCCGCGAAATAGGAGAATAATAATTTATTATGAGAATAAGCCTGTTACACTTCTTTGAAGCATTAAGATGCTGATTAGTCGACTATTTGACTTTTGTGAGACTGTGGTTGCATGTATAGTATATTTAAAGATGAAACAAACACTCAAAATAAAGCCATTTAAACAGTTGGCCCATTTAAACAGTTTTTTAACCCCGGCTGGAATTATTTGCGATTACATGCTGCCAGGCTGAAATTCCAGCCTGGGCAGCTCAAACTTGGCTGAATAATCATGTAAGCACCTGTTTTTATTGCTATATATATAAGAGATTTTTACGTATTTTTCCTCTGAAAATGTTTCATAGCACCGATAACATGGCATTCTTACAAAATGTACCTGTGCTTGGGCAAAGGTTTGAAATGAAATACGTACCAGATATACATATCATATCCGGACCAGCCATTAAGATAATCTTACTTTCCAGTATATTAGCAGATACCGGATTTGTCCTTTCAACTTTGTGAGCAAGGCTTTTGCAATGCCATGTTTAGAGTGAAGTTCTTTCCTATGATTTCAAGTATCTTTTCAAATCAAAGTATTATAGACACCCTCATTTTAAAACCAATTAAAATAATTATTTATCTTAAATGAAAGTATAAATCTTATATCAATATTATCAGTTATTTGGCCAGATATAACTGAAAATCTAGCCGAATAGCAAAACGTTCTATCTCGTGCAGCCCTAGAAATGACAAGGTGCCTAATTGTGACCAATTGTTTTATCTAGCGACCGGGTATTTCTCAAAGGTAGCCCATGTTGTGACTGAGAAGAGAATTTAAAAAAGACTAGTGTTTGATAAAAATAATGAGTCAGGCCATTTGAGGTTTTTGGATAATAGTAGGATTATCTACAAATTAACTTAGACTGTAGAATAATCCCAATTTTTATTTTGTAGCCAATTATTCACAACAGAAAATAACAAATTGGCACGGCAAGGCATGTTCAAGGGGAAACCTGGCATTGTGTACACAGACCTCGAGACATACTGTACAGCAAGAACTGGTTTAATTTATGTGCTTCAGTTACTTTACATGTTGTAAGTCATTGTGCAAAGCTTTATAATTGTGTGTTAATATTTCTCTGCCATTACAAATAGTGATGTGGCTGTGTTTTTATTCAACTGTGTTAAACCATTGAGTTGCACTGTGCCCTATTATTTTACTCTGGCTAACACCAGACTATTTTACTCTGTCTAATGCCAGTCAATTTTACTCATCAATGGGAGAGCGCTGGCACGTAATGGGTATAACTGTCCTATCTGCCCATGTGTCTAGTTAAACCATCGAGTCGCATTGTGCCCTTTAATGATTATGTTATGTCTAATGCCAAATTATTTCACTATGTTTAATATACTATTACTCATTGATTACAGTGATTACAGTTTTTGAAGAAAGAATTGTTTAGTATCCGTACATGGATTAATAATGGTAATTGAACTGAGTGGAGTGCAATTTGGACTGAAATCAAACGAGTGATTACAAAATCGCATGACCGCAAAGCGGGAGTGCGATTTGTAATCACAAGTTTGATTTCGGTCCAAAATTGCACGACACAAAGTTCAATTTCCACTTTATTATATTCATTTTGAAATCATAATTAAATATTTTTGTGAACCGGAAACGTTTTTGTTTGCAAAAGACACACCTCCGGTACCTCCCGTGTAGCATAGCAACAATAAGCGAACAAGATGAACAATAGTTATTATAGTTTTTTTTGCAAAAATGGTTAAAATGTTAAAGAAATGAAGACATTTATTAAGAATAGGAGACAACACAAGTGAGTTCAAACATATTGTAGGTTTTACGAGTGATTTGAAAGAGTTTTGGTGCAGTTTTGTGCGTTTAAAATTGGAAATACGATAGGCGAATTTACCTTTGACACTTTGTTGTGAGCTTTGTTTTCCCTGACGCTTTATAAAATTTGCTTTAGTTGGCATTTTTGCCTGTTTACTATTTGAGAAATTTAAAAAAAAATTTAAATTCTTAGCAATTCTTTGATAGTTTACTGTAGCTATCCATATTGTTTGTTTTTATGTGCCAAAAATTGCTTAGGCACTCAAGGGTAATCATGTATTTTTTTTGTTTTTGCTCATTTGCCATATCACATATTTTTCTTAAAATTGATTGTATGTTTGAATCCTATGATTAAATATGATTGGTTGGTTGAAGTCAGCACTCAAATGTGATTGGTTAAAAGAAGGTGCGATTTCAGCACGAATCGCACTGCTAGGAGTGCGATTCGTGCTGAAATCACACTCCTGTGAACCAATCTGATTGCAGGAAGCACCATTGATTTCAAAATGAACATAATAAAAAGATTAACATAGATTAAGATACTTAATCTATATAGAACTTAATCTATATGTGTATTATAGAACTTAACTATATATGTGTATTTTAATCTGTGTAGAAATTTTGTAGAGTTAGAAAACCGGTGTATCATTGCAGCTTTGACGTATGTCCTTGAGGAGAAAAAGCATACCTCAGGAGAACATTTCTTTAATTAAAGTTGTTCTTGTAAGTGAATTTTGTATATTTTATAACATCTAGAGAGAAATTATGAAGTGATGTATATTTTTGTAGTGTAACTACAGGAGAAAAAGTACAATATTTAGACAAAAGTGTAAGTTGTGCATGAAAAGCTTATGTCACTCAGTTATATTCCTTGTTGCAGGATGATTCTGAAGTTGCTCCCAAAATATCAGGATGCTCAACCCCTTGTCTATTGGCCAGCTGACCTCTGGAAGACATAAGTTCAATTTCATTGATTGCAGAGGGAATGGTTGTAAAAACGTCAGATACGATCCGTGCAATATTACCAACGCAGTGGCACGTTTGCTTGCAGGGTACTACGTTTTAACATGCAGGACCCAAAAGAGGCCAAAAGGTAATTTCGAACATGTTCTTTTGGGCAATAATTGCTATACTTTACCAATTGACGTGGAGAACTTCCTAAGCTAAATATAAATTAACACATTATATTAAATAGAACAGTTTATGATAATGATGATATTAATTGTATCACTAATTTAATGCATGTACTGTACTGTACATGCAGGATATATTGTCTCCAGGAGAGTTATAACCCTCACATCATGGGCTATTTCTGTGAATGTTTCTATATAGTATAACTCTAAACTATATATAGCTTACAAGCTAAGGAATTGTGTGAGATAACCATTGTTTCTTGAAATAGAAGAAAGTTTCTTCTATATATGGAGAGCTTTTTACTTTCTCAATATAATATGATGACCCCATGCTATCAAACTCTGCTCCACGTCCATGCACTTTACTGTTTTTCAATGGTCGCACACTGGAACTCAATTATCTCGTAGATTATTTTACTTATATATTATATATAAGACTTATGCATTCCTTAAGAAAAATACATGATTTTTATCACAGTACTGAAATTGTTTAATATTTAATAATTTGATTTTGAGTCAAATATTGATTTTAACCTATTTTTTAGGTTAAATCAACTGCATGTAACCTATTTTAAAGGGCTGGTTTAGACTCATGGCCTTTACCATTATTTATGGGTTGTTTCAACCATAAAGAATAGGTTATATTTGTATCAACCAATTCTTATAGGTTAAATTGACCAAATATTATTGGTTAAAATGACCAAATATTTATTAGTAAAAACAACCTATATTTATTTGGCAAAAACAACCTATATCTCTGAGTAGATTTAACTGTTTAAATTTAGGTTGTTTTAACCTAAAAATAAATGTTAAAATAACATATTTTAAATAGGTACAATTAACTATATTATAGGTTAAAATAACCCGTTTAGTTACGTTTAGTTATTTCTACCTATTTAAATAACCTATTTTAAAAACCGGTTGTCCTAGACCAACTCAAATCACCTATTTTTTTTCGTTATTTTAACCTATCAGTTTTTACAGTGTAGTTATTACTAACACTGCATGACGTACACGAATTTCAGAGAATATGATTGGTTAGTGGTCCGTTGGGTTCGACAGAACTCAATATTTTACCGACAAAGACCCGCGAATCGTATAGTCAATTGAACGTATTAAATATGTCAATAATTTTATTCGATCTAAAAGTATAAAAATATAAAACTAATGTAAGTAAAGTATAAATGGTACATACGTGTTCTTTCTCAGTAACTTACTTCTTGGCGAGTCATTGAACAATCCTCTTTAACAACAAATAATTCGTCCGATATAGTTTCAAGTCGCTATTACAAACCTTATAACACATGTATTATTTCCCGCGTCTTAGCATAATTAAGAATGACTAATCTGAATATATTACATAAATAAATATACATTACGTCACTGTTCGCAACATTCTCCCCCGCCGATGACGACGTCGTCATCGCCATATCCTTCGTGAGGGTAGATCACTGCAATCTTCGTAACTGGCCTTCGGTATTCTCCAGTAGGGGTCTTCAATGTCACGTTTCGCACTTTGCCATCAGATCCGGGATGTACTTTTGTGATTCGTCCGATAGTCCATTTTCCTCTTACAGCATTTGTATCCACTGTCATCACCACGTCGTTCACTTGGATATTTCTACGATCTACGCTCCACTTCTTTCTTGGGTTAAGTGACGGGAAAACATCGGTTGTCCATCTGACCCAAAACGAATCTACGATTCGCTGCACAAATTCTACACGATCTCTTGGGTTCTTGGTAGCTTTGAATGGACCTTGCGGTACATTGGACGAGGAACGACCAAGCAACATGTCGTTTGGACACAAATACGATCCATAATCCGGGTCGTTTGGAATACGGCCAATCGGTCGCTGATTAACCAGATTTGCAATTTCTAACAAGCACGTGTACAACTCGAATGGTGTTAGTACTTGCTCTCCGATTGCTTTCTTTAACGCGTATTTACTGCTCTTCACCAAAGCTTCAGAGACCCCGTTTTGGTGCGGCGCTGCAGGCGTTATAAACTGCCATACCATTCCATTTTCAGCACAGAAATCATGAAGTGTTTGATGTCCCAACCTTGTATCATCTCTGGTTGAGGCGATACCAGAATGTCCTCGTCGATGCATGTGACGCGTTATCAATAGGGATACCCAATGTTTGTATGGCAACATTGCGGGATGCTTGCAGTCGTACGTCGCCATTGCTTTGCTCAAACGACCTTCGACTCTGATAATTCCTTCATCATCTACAAAAGGGATAAACTGACTCTCTGCATTATTATCCATTTGCTGTACTGCCGGTTGGGGTGTCAATTCCTGAACTGTTTGTTCTGTTTCTTCGGTAATTTCTACATCTTGAGAATTGCTATGTGTGTTTGGTTCTGGTATTTGATTCTCTATAATAGCTGTGTTGGTATTTTCTCCGTTATTTTCTTGGGTTTCCTGTGTTTTCTTAGCTATATCATTTTCTGTGCATGTGTCTTGGGTGACCTGTTCCTGTTTTGATTTCAAAATATAATCTTTCGCTCTGAATTTCAAAATTAATGTTTTCTCGCGGCAATCTTCGATCCATTTTTCTTCCTTATCAAATTCTTCGTCATCGACCTTTTCTACTAAAGCCTCATGCTTTTGTACGACAGTTTTATAGTCTATTTCTACTAGTTCTAGCGCTTCTGTTATCTCTTCAACAGGCCGGTTGTTTTCAATCATGCTGTATAAATTATTACTGCGGCGTGTTAGCGAACTTTTCGCGTTTCTTCTGGCCTTTTTCGCATCCATTTTACAGTGAAACTTTATCAGCCTTTGCTGTGAACCTTTGGGACTCCAGATATAAACACAGAAATCAAATTTATGGTCCGTTGGGTTCGACAGAACTCAATATTTTACCGGAAAAGACCCGCGAATCGTATAGTCAATTGAACGTATTAAATATGTCAATAATTTTATTCGATCTAAAAGTATAAAAAAATAAAACTAATGTAAGTAAAGTATGAATGGTACATACGTGTTCTTTTTCAGTAACTTACTTCTTGGCGAGTCATTGAACAATCCTCTTTAACCATAAATAATTCGTCCGATATAGTTTCAAGTCGCTATTACAAACCTTATAACACATGTATTATTTCCCGCGTCTTAGCATAATTAAGAATGGCTAATCTGAATATATTACATAAATAAATATACATTACGTCACTGTTCGCAACAGTTAGATTAGAAATAAATTATCGTAGTAATTAGTCGGCGGTGAACAAATTTCGTTGAGATTGTTGCAGGCTCTCATTTACCCATTGAGCCTGCCACGCAGGCTAGAAAGGTGTTGGTGGAGATCGGCAATGGTTTATGAGACGTGCGACTGAGCTTGATATGGAAGGAGCAGCAATTTTCAGTAATTTAGGACTCTATCAATCAGCACCTGTTGCTTTATTTGCTGGCATAGAATTGAGCATTTGTCTTTATCTTTGGAGAGTTTAGTAGAGATTGGTACAAAAAGTAGACTTTATAGATACCAAGAGACGCTGTGGTTGACTAACAAAGAAAGAGTTAAAGATATCGGCAATGCTTTTGCCGTCCATTACAAGTTTTTCATTTAAATGACGAACACCGTTGTTTTCTCCCAATGATGCTCTTGATAGATCTTTAATCAATGACCATAGCGGTTTATTTGTGTTGTCTCGATGTTCGTTTACTTTTGTTTTAAAACATTTTTTCTTTTTATTATGGATAAACTGAGTTAATTTGTTTTTGGCCAGTTTGAAAATTGACCAGTCATTTGCGTTATTGGAAGCACGTGCTTGTTTTAGAAGTCTGTTTCTGATTCGAATTTCATTTGTTAAATCATTTGTAAACCCATTTTGGTTGGATCTTTCGCTTAACTCGTTTTGATATTATTACAGCGTGTTTGTTAAAGCCTGGTTCACATTGATCGTAAACATCGGCGATGTCTATTGTCGGTGGTCATTGATGCATAAAATGTTTTGTGCATTTTCTTCTTCGTTGCTCACAGACAATGGATCGTAGAACATCGCCGATCAATGTGAACCAGGCTTAAGATTAGACACCTTAAGATTGTCGTTTACGGCAAACGTCAAACCGCTAGCGAAGCTTTTAATTTGATTTTACAACTCTACAGGGTGTCTCAAAAAAGGCTAGTCATATTGTATTGAATTATAATTACTGCTAATCAATTAGCGAGCCGTAAAACAAAAGATTTTCTACTTATGGGACCTGACTGAAAAACTCAAATTATCGTGTAAATTATGTTAATGGTACAGAACTTCAGGAGGATAAAATGGTTCAATTGACGACAGAACAACGAATACTTATTGTTTTGCATTACAACACGACCTACAGTTTAGTTTCCGCGCAGAATGCATTTCGGGAACGATTTCCAGACCGTAAGTACAACATTCACAGAACAAGTCCCAACCGGAACAAGACAAATTCTAGCAGGCCAAAAACAGCGCGTTCCCAAGTTAATATTGAAGCAGTAAGGCGTCTGCTGGAGCAATATCCAGGAGTTAGTGCTCGTCGAAATCCCCTTGGTATAACATCAGCCGGCTTCAACCGCATTACGAGGCTCGACCTTCAATGGCACCCCTTTCGAATGCACGTAAGGCATGAGTTGCTTCCAAACGATTATCAGAGGCGATCGAATTTTTCCCAATGGTTTAACCAACAATGTGAAGAACCACATTTTTTGGGAAACTTGGTGATTGGTGATTGGTGACTAGGTTACATTCTCAATGGCGAGCGATAAAATTGATAATGTTCTTGCGGAAATTTTTAATAGGTCCATTGTAGCAGGAGAATACCCTGAAAAATTAAAATTGGCAAAAATCATACAAATTTTTAAATCAGACGCTGCAGTAGATCCAAATAATTATAGACCAATATCATTATTATCTAATTTCAATAGGATTTTTGAAAAAATCGTATATATAATAGAATAGAAAGTTTTGTTTTAAAAAAGAATATTCTTTGTTCATCTCAGTACGGCTTTCGGAATGCTCATTTAACTCAGCATGCAATTCTTGACATCGTTAATGTAATACAAACAAATATGGATAAGGGCTTGTTCTCCTGTTGAATATTTATTGATTTAAAGCAGGCATTTGATACGGTTGATCATCAAATTTTACTTAGAAAATTTAATTTCTATGGATTTAGGGGATTATTAAATTATTGGTTTTTATCTTACTTACAACATCGAATGCAAAGAACACAGATTGGAGAATATGTATCAAAGGAAATGATAATAACACATGGTGTTCCTCAAGGATTTGTCTTGGGTCCTTTGTTATTTTTATTATATGTAAATGACATACAAAATTGCTCAAATAAGTTAAATTTTTATCTTTTCGCTGATGATACTAATATGCTTTATTCTGATAAAAACTTGAAATGATTAGAGAAAACTGTAAATACGGAATTGAATGGTCTATATGATTGATTAACAGCAAACAAATTAACTTTAAATATAAAGAAATCTAATTTTGTCATATTTCGGCCGAATCAGAAGAAAATGTTATATCAACCAAAAATATGCATATTCGATAATGAAACAAAGCAGAAGGCTAATCTAGAGTGTAAAAACTTTATTAAGTATCTTGGTATTTTAATTGACAGTGACCTCTCTTGGAAACAGCACATTGATTACATAACATTAAAAATTAGTAAAACTGTAGGTCTTATAGCAAAATTAAGGCATTTTGTACCAACTGATATCTTTCTGAATATCTACAGATCTTTGATTCTTCCATATTTAACTTATGGTTTGGTAATCTGGGGGCAGGCGTGCAAATCATATTTGAAAAAGATTCTAGTTCTTCAAAAACAGGTTCTTCGCCTAATATTTTTCAAGAACAGAAGGGAGCATGCAATCCCACTTTTTGTTCATTTCGCCATAATGCCAATAAGTCTTTTATATTGTCAGTCAGTGTAAAATTTAATGTACGATGTAAATAACGGAGTAGCTCCAATTAATATTCTACATTTATTTCGAAAAATTTCTAGTATTCATACACACAGTACTCGATCTGTTGCATCTGATAATTTCTATCATGAAATATTAAGACTTAAAATACAAGAGAAAGGTTTTTCACGGACAGGTGTAAAACTGTGGAATGAGATACCAGTTTTTCTTAGGGAGATGACAAAACCTAGGTTTAAGAAATCAATAAAAAAGTACTTATAAATATTTTTGAACAAGAAGATACATATCTTGATATACCAACAATAGTTTCAAAGATGAAAATTATAACAAGAGAGAATAACTGCATGTAAACTTTCTAAGTGCAAACTTACTACCTTCATTGCACGTTATTACTTACTTTCCTTTTTTTTAATATTCATGTCCGTTTCTAGTGTCATGTTCGTCTGTTTGTAACAAACTTTGTATAATCGTAATTAAATTCGTATTGTATAATTTTTGTAAAAGATATGCCCGCCATAGATTAGCTTAAGCTACTTGCGGGCCATTCTTATTTTTGTATTATTATTTAAAAGTTAATAAATTTGATGTTGATGTTGATGTTGATGTTGATGTTGATGTGGTAAATTCTCAATATGGCCCAAAAGGAAATGCGCCAGTATTTAATTTCAACAGAAACGATTCTCGTGAGAAGCTAACTGTTTGGGGAGCAGTGTGCGGAAACGGTTTCCTGTTGGGTCCTTATTTCTTTGAGGGAAATGTCGACGGCGATGCGTACCTCCAAATGTTGCGACAATATGCTTTACCTTTCCTCGCTGTTCATTTCAAAAACCAGTATGAAAATGGAGTGTTTCGCAATCTGTGGTGGGTACAGGACGGTGCACCTGCGCATCGTCGTTTGGACGTGCGTAATCTGCTGAGCAAAGCGTTTAGAAATGACCACGTTGTTGGATTGGGCCATAATGTGGAATGGCCGCCACGTTCACCGGACTTAACACCGTGTGACTTTTTTATGTGGGGCTATCTAAATAAAAGTAAGGCATTTTTCCGGCCGCCCAACAACATTGAGATGCCACGCCAGAGAATTATTGAAGAATTCAATGCTCTACGGCAAAATCGTGACTTTATTACAACAGCCGTGCGTCATATGCGTACAAGAACCACTCTTTGCCTTCAGAGAAACGGTGGTCATGTTCAAGGACGAGGCGCTGAAATTTATCTTCAAATAATTTTAACTTATTTGTGTGAAATAAGCAACTTGCAATTAAAATAAAGTTAATTGATCTCTTTTGTAAATAACACACGTTTTTGTCACGTATAATTATCTACACGCAGTTTAGAACAATGAGATCACTGTAATTATGACTAATTTGAGTTTCAAAGACTAGCCATTTTTTGAGACACACTGTATTATAATAGCTTTTACACCAGTTTTGAAATATGTTAAACAATTATTAAATTTGTACTCTTTAGCAATGATTTAAGAAAGCAAATTAACCACTAGTCATGTATTCACCAAAGCAGTAAATTAATAAGATTTGTCCTTTGAAGTTGACGTTTGGCGTATAAATTTCATACTTGAACAGCCAGTCGTTAAAGCATGAAATTTATACGCCAAACGTAAACTTCAAACGCTCAATCTTAATTCACTGCTTTGGTGAATACATGACCAGCGGTTAATTTACTTTCTTAAATCCATTGCTAAAGGGTACAAGTTTAGTGATTGTTTACCATGGCCTACTCCTACCATTAGCCATTACCAAATAGAGAGACTAAATTTAGTAAAATGTGAAAGCAGGTAATAAGAAACCCGTGTATGATACGGGGTTTGACCGCTTGACAGTTATCAATTATTACAACAAACACAACACTCTTATAGTTATTTGTATGAATTACATCAATAACCTTACAAAATTGATTTGCGGCATTTACGAGATGCAAACTCTTTAATAATATCATGGAAGTCGATTTTACGTAAAACCTCCGCCCCTATACTCATTATAGATAGATATATATTGTTCAGTTTCTGATCTGTCATGGTAGACCTAAGCACATTCTTGATGTGTTTCAATGCCGAAAATGACCGTTCTCCTGAACAATTTCTCACCATTAATGTCAAATAAATTCGCAGGGCAATATCGACGTTGGGAAAACTTCGTCGATTTCTCTTTTCGCATGAATACGGTACATTTGAAGCTCAACGCTTACGGCTTCATCTGAGTCATCTAACGCATCTTCCTTGCGAGGTAGATTCTTTCCCTTGAAATGTTCACGAAAATGGACCAGCTCTTCTGCGAGAGATGTCTCCAAATCATATGGATATTGCTGTACCAAATTGTCCGCTCCATCTTTCAGCTGTTTCTAGACATTGTGAAGAAATCCAAACTTATGCGACAGTTTGGCATAGCTATGCTTGTAGACGCGCTTGTTGAGTTAGGGAAAGCTGCTTGTCCGGAATAGACAAACACACTTCAACTCTGAAACGAACGCTCGGAGTGAATTCTGCTTTTTCAGCTGCACCATCATTTAAAGTCAGTCTTACACTTCCAGCCCGTTTTCGACCCACCTCTGTTTTGTAAGATTTTGACCTTGAGCGTAATCTTACCTTTTCTTCAAAATCATGAAACGAATCTGTGAGAGTTGTTGTATAATTCATCAAAGATTCCAAGTGCGCGACAGCTTCATCGAGATCCAGATCGGCACTTTGCAACTGCATGAATGTCTTGGGGAATCGTTCAAGGACAGTTTCCCAGAGTTCCAACAAGATGCAGTTTTCCAACTGGGCCATCTTCTTTTGAAGACCATTTGCTTCTAGTTTTGTTGCTGGTTCTTCATCCGCATCGTTTGAAATGGAGAGACAAGTTGCTCGAATGTTCTCGTAGTTCTTTTTCAAGGCAGAAGTAGCTGCCGAGTGAGCCGACCAGCGAGTACTGATCACAAAGGCGTTTCACAACTGGCAACCTCTTCTCACGAACTTCATTCAACAGAATATCTCAGCAATGAGGAGAGGCACTGAAAAAAGTGTAGAATTTGTGTACGAAGCTGAAAAACGAAGTAGCACCTGGAACACAATCTACAGCACAATGCCCAACCAAACTGAATGAATTAATGTGTGAAACATGGAACAGTACATGTTAGCAACTTGCAAGTAAAACAAAATGCACGACCGGTCGCAGGTGAATAGCACAGCCATAAACGTGGAATTTTCTCACCGTTGTACGAGAGAATGGGGATCTGGAAAACCACCTCTTCTATTTGCCGTCATCTTGAACAGACTTGGAAAATTTTTCGTCAATATGCTAGCTGGCAATCTTGACCACCACGCTCCACCCAGTATTCGACAAAGCTGTCTGGAAGCAATTCATAACACCCAAATGACCGTCGGCAAAATGTCCGTTCGGCAAAATATTTTCGGCAAAGTGTCTTTCGGGAAAAATGTCCTGCTACCTGTCAGACTCATGATCAAATTCAGCTTCATTTTTCTTCGTGTCCTCAACACCAGAAGGACAAACGTCACTATTGTTAATTTCAGCTGGCATAGCGTCAGGTGTATTTAATAGCGATTCAGAAGGCTCCACGTTCACATGTTCTGTTGCGGTTGGCAACGATAACGAATCTGTATTAGGTGCACATGCACATGGTTTAGGATTAGGGTTTGAACTAGGGAAAGGCTTAGGATTAGGGTTATGATTAAGATTAGGGTTTGGCTTGCAGTAAGGGTTAGGGTTAGGTTTAAAGACACAAAGGCAAATTTTTAGACACAAAGGAAAATTTCAAAAACATGGCAGTCTGACTGAATGACGCTATCCCAGGAAGCTTTGCGCATGTTGTAGGAATTTTAGGCACCAGGCTGTCAAACCGCGCTCATCGTGGGAATTTAATTAATGTGAGTATATATACATTTAAATGTATATATACTCACTTGGATTACAAACCCTAACATTCTAATATTAATTCCACCAAGTGAAGTGCAAGAATCCAAATCATTGATGTCCACCTTATCACAACCCGCACACCCGATTACCTATATATACATGAACTTACGGTTACAGCTCAACAGCTGACCTCTGTAGCTCAGTTGATTAAAGCGCTGCACCGGAATCGCAGGGCCGTAGGTTCAATTGCTACCAGAGGACCTTGTGCTGCATTTTTCGCAGTCGTTTCTAGTTATGTCTTAAAATGTATATATACTCACTTAGATTACAAACCCTAACATTCTAATATTAATTCCACCAAGTGAAGTCCAAGAATCCAAATCATTGAAGTCGAATTTAATTAATTCGTGCCAAATTAGAAACGTAAGTAGGTCAAAATTGGGGGAAATAACTTTAAAAAAAGGCATATGCAACATTGTAGTTGAAAACAAAATAATTATGTAAAAGTAATGAGGAATTTTAACAAAATAGCAAATATGAATTTTTCTGTGCTGGTGTTGTGTACTCAGGTGAATAATATGTTTGCGATGTAACTCTGAGTGCATATCCACACCGGGCGAGCTTGAAAAATATGCTCGGCCACGGTGGGATTCGAACCTACGACCTTTGGAATACTAGCCCAATGCTCTTGCAACTGAGCTACGCGCTAAGGACGGTTCGAGTAAGTGATATTTCAGAACACTATCTAGTTCCTTCAATACCAATGTGTTCTAGTAATATGAATTTTTCTGTGTTGGTGTTGTGTACTC